TTGTTTTAATAATTCCAATGAGATGCTTTTAAACTACGGCATTTCTTTTCATTCTAATTCTGTGCGAAATACGTAAGGAGGGCCTTCCTTTTGTCCCCCCCATTATCTTAATATAAAGGGAAAAAAAGAAATAGCAAGACAGAAAGCCGTCTTGAGATTGTATTAGAGTTACTATTATTAACAGTTAACAATAATATCTTACATGTATATTCTATTTGATACCTTTCATGAATGATGGCTTCACAGTGAACTCAGATACAAAGACCCCCTTTTTCCAGAAGACAGCATAAGAACCAGAGACAGAACCAATCAGCAGATGACCCCAGTGCAACAAGAACACACATCTGCAGGGTCCGCAATAAACACTCCTTTATTGGCTTTACCAGAGGGGCGCAAACAGTTAAGAACTGGATTACTGATCAAAGGGCGGTTCGAACCTACTCAGAGGCACCTCGGAAGAAAGGCTTAGCAATCTGCTTCCAAAATGTCACAGCCTTGAAAATGCTACGCAGTACAGTTCTACTGTGCACACTTCGGGTCGCCATGAGTTGGAATCGACTCAAAGCCAACTGGTTTTATGCTAAAGTTGTAGGTGTTCACAATGACATTCTTGGATAAGCCTACTAAAATTTTTTAGCATTTCACATATAAATAGGTTATTACTGATGAGCAAACTATATTCTAACGTAGTGAAACTGAAATAACTTAGCTAGTCCTAAGGTAAAGTGAAAAGGTACACTAAATCAGTGGATTACTATCGTGACAGACCCTGAGTGGTACAAACAGCTCACATGCTCAGCTACTAACCAAAAGGTTGGCAGTTCGAGTCTAGCCAGAGGTACCTCAGAAGAAAGGCCTGGCGATCTACTTATGAAAAATCAGCCACTGAAAACCCTATGGAGCACAGTTCTATTCTGACACACATGGGGTCGCCGTGAGTTCGAATCGACTCAACAGCGAGACAGTATAGTAAAAAACAAACAGACAATATTGAATATTCATGTAACTCTCCTTGGTGACTGGGGAGGATGCCATTAGAACGACAGGGTCAGCATCATCAGCCAAACGTCACCCACACAAAGGTGACCTAAGGAGCAAGACACAGTAACCCAAGAGGCTCCCCACTCCATCTCCAGCAGCAGATCCAACCCACTCACCTTTGCTTCTCTCAAGTCCTTTGCAAAAGCAAAATCACTGAATCACTACTAACGTAACCAGAAGACTTGCTGAGGATATTCCAGCTCAAGAGAAATGAAACGCTAAAAAAAAAACACAGACATCTTCCAGGTCTCTCAACGCTTCTGTATGAGTCAGACTAACATCTGCACAAAACCCAGGCTGTATCAGCGTGTACAGGGGTTGACAAACTTCTTCTGTAAAGGGCCAGACAGTAAATATTCTAGCCTCTTCTGTCATTTGGTCTGTCACAGCTACTTAGCTGGGCCACTGTAGCATAGAGCAGTCACAGACAATAAGAAGTGGATGTGGCTGTGTTCCAATAAAACTTTATTTACTAAAATATATGGCAGGCTGAGACTGAGTCCAGTGTAAGTAGATGGTGCCCGGTACCACCACTGACTGCTCTGATAGGGATCACAACAGAGGGTCTCGGTCAGAGCTGGAGAAAAGTGTAGAACAAAATTCTAACTCACAAAAAAAGACCAGACTTACTGGCCTGACAGAGACTAGAGAAATCCTAAGCATGTGGCCCCTGGACACCCTTTTAGCTCAGTAATGAAGTCACTCCCGAGGTTGACCGTTCAGCCAAAGATTAGACAGCCCCATAAAACAAAACAAGACTAATGGGGCACAATAGCCCAGGGACAAGGACTAGAAGGCAGGAGGGGACAGGAAAACTGGTAATAG